GCCGGGCTGCTCTCAAGGACCGCTCCTTCCAGTCTGTATGGGTGCCTTTCATCTCTGGTCAGAAAGCAATTATCTTGTAAATGTGGCTATCTTCTCAAGAAGAGATCAGGTATTGCTGAGAGCAGTTGATAAGCACTGCTGTACCTCACTGTTTAGAGCTTGTGAAGTTTAAGTTCTAGAGCTTTTCTCATGGAAGTTCCTTCCTACAAAAGTGAGCAATTGAGTAATATTGCATCCCTGGCCCCCAAACACATTCTGATTTCTTAATCAGCCAAAATATTCAGGAAGAGGGGTAATTTTTATAAGTGGATAAGTAGAATTTTATGTATCCAAATGTGATGACTTGGTGCAATCTTTCTTGTGTGACTGTTCGGTCCACATTTAGGCTTTGGTCTGTTCCCAGCTTTGTAACATCAGACAGCAGCAGTGGTTCTTTTTCTTCCGTATGCTCAAAGAAGATCTGCCATAGCTGGCAGGGTGTTGTTATTTTGGCCCCAATACAGTATCTGCTTGCTTTGTTTGGCCTGGAGCAGAGGAAGCTGAGGGCAGCTCCCATGTGTTGGCCCTACAGCTTCCCAAAGGGGAGCTGCATGGAGCTCAGCAAGTGCTGCAGCACTGCTCTCAGCTGCAGGGTGTGGGGTTGGGTTCTGCTGTGTGGAGATGGGCTGGACTAGAAGTGTCCCACGAGGACCATCAGGTTGGAAATACACAGTGATTCTATGTTTGATTCTTTTAGTTCAGAAAACCTGACTGCAGCTTGAATCAAGATAACACCAAGGAGTTTGACATGTTTGTTGCTGAGGACTGTAATGTTTTGTTGTTTTTTTTTTTGTTTTGTTTTTAAGTTGTTTCCTAGCATTGCCTCCAGATTACTAGACTTCAGGTTTTAGTTTGGATTAATAAGAAGCATTTGAATCTTCTCAGATTGAGGACTTTGAAGTCACTAAGATTATTGATTTGTGTTGGCAGTGTCCTGTAGCATACATAGAAAAAACAGATTTGCAATTGGCTTTCACCTCTGTCTGTTGTGGTTCAGTATGAGGTTAGAGGCCATGCGGAAGGTCTAGCCTGCTGTAGGATGGCTTTTCTCTGTGTTCCACCTGTGATGGCTTTTAGGCAGTATTTTGTACATTGCCTACTGTTCTGCAGTTACTGCTGGGGCTGTTTGGCCCAAGAGATCAGGTTGGAGCCATGTCATGCATACAAAAAGACGTACTGAACTAGCTAGCCTGCCATAATTATCTCCAAAGCATTCATTTCTTGCTTGAAAGGCTCTTAGGTCTGTGTGTTGCTTTGAGACAGCAGGGCACTGTGAGGAGGCATCCTGCTGTCACGGCCCACAGGCTTGGCGCAGCACTCAAGGCGCTTCCAGGCCTCCGTGACATCACCTGCAGGAAGAGCCGGCCTGCCCCCGGCCCCATGGCTGTTCTCACTGCTGGTCTCCCTGCCTGGGAGCAGCGCTGGAACTAGAAATGTGCTGCATGTTGAACTCTGTTCCTGCTACAACTTGCGTGAAATTTGAATGACAGGATAAGCACAGTGGCTGCAGGCTGGGTGTTTGGCTCTCAGTGCATCTCGCTGACCTGCTGGCCTTGATCAGACTGTTGCCAGCCATTGACTGCAATTCCCTTTTTTTTATTGCTAGGGTTCCTTTCTGACTTCTGCTGTCCGGCTCTTTGGGATGGCTGGGCGGAGCTGTGCAGGACTCAGCAAACAGCATTCAGCTTAACTGCTGGGTCTGTTATGTGCGTGGGGCTCTGTGTTGTTTCACTTCTCGAAGTTCACAGGCTCAGCAGTTTTTCATGTGGGATTTGAAAGGAGGGGAACTTGATTATGCAGCAGATTTAACTTTTGAAACTGGATCCTAGAAAAGACAGTATTCTTGCTGTGTATGTTTTTAAAATAGTTGTTATAGATAATGATTAATTGTCTCTGGGTTTAGCCTGGGGAAGTGTTTAAAGATCTAATTAAAAAAAAAAAAAACAAACAACAAAACAACAACAAAGAAAACGGACCATCTTGTGTAGGCAGGATAGAATTGTGGTAGTGGTTGTCAATATTGCTAGAGCTCTACTTTGTCTATCAGAATGCAGGAGCAGATTAATGTTACTGTTGTTTTCAGTATAGGGTCTGGTTTCCCCAGTCCATTCCAAAATCAGGGTATGAAGTAATTGAATGCTTGAGTCTGTTAATACAGTTAATCCGTGCTCCTTGCAAACGGTTTGGGCTGATAAATACATAGGGTTGGATTAGCTGTTATTGTTAATACTCTTAATATGCTGCTTATTCAGATATCTGAGAGCCTTTAATCTTTCTGTAAGAAGTTGGTAATAAAAGCTAAGTTTGAGACTTGTTGGGAGTTTACTGGGGTAAGGTTACAGTTGAGATTCACAGCTTTATTCAGATCCTGGCAGTTGCAAAGCCCTATATGTCAGTAAGTACCATGCCAGGACATGTATTTTCTTATGCGTGGGATGAGGATAAAGGCGAGACAGCCAGGGCTGGGATTGGGTCTTGGTTTGTGTTTCAGATGTGCTGGGGAAAGGTGTGCATGCAGGAGTGTGATGCTACTGTGGCTATGGTATGAGTGTGCTCACAGGAATGGCAGTGAATAAATGCTGTCCAAAAAGCTGTTGAACTTCAGTTCTTTCAAGGATGTACTCAAATATATGCTAGCCCTGCGTGAATCAGGTCAGCAGTGTCAGGCCTACGTGCTCAGGCTCATTTCCAGGTGCTGCCACAAGCCCATGTGTTCCAAGGCTCTGGCAGGTGTAGCCACCGACTGCCTGGGGTCTGCAGGGCAGCGTCGGCTGTGTGACCCCGGGGGGAGCTGGGCACCCGGGCTGTGAGCTCCCAGCGCCTGCACTGAGAATCAGAGCAGTGGTCTCAGGGAATCCCTTAGTCCAACTAGGGCTCTGGGAATGTTTAATTCGAGCACTGAAGAATAGTTATTTGTACCTTTTGTCTAAATCATTGTGCAAGGCCCAAGCGGCCAGTTCTCCGTGTGTTCATGCTGAAGCTCAGTGAGTTTTCACAAAGTGAAAAAAATGAGATTATTATTGACTAAAAATAAACTTTGAAAAAAAGAACACGCTTTCTATAATTCATGTACTTTTTTTCCATTTTCCATTGAGTAAATCTAGTACAACTTTGTAGGAAATGGAAATACTGGGCAAAAGATAGCCTAGTTGTATGTTTGTTTTGAAAAGCTGCTTGTTTGCAGGATATTGGCAGCTCACGCGGTATCCATTTGTTTGAAAGCTTGCGCCTTTTCCTTATAGCCTGACCAATGCAGTAACCAGTGTGAAACTAATAGACTTCAAATACAAAGTCAGCATGAAAAGAGGCTATAGTGGGATTTGAAATTCCAGGAAAAGGTCAAAATCTCTTTGAACTGAAGGGGGCGGCGGTGCGTGGTATGAGCATCCTGTTGTTCTGACATGGATCCCACGTGGTTCTATAGGCTAGAGTAGGTCAAGCTAGGTTTTAGGGATGGGCTTTGTATTTGTGGCTCCACTTACTGCATGTGGTTAAATGAAAGGATAGGATGAAAGCTTGTGCTCTCCAAGACCTTGGGCCGTTTGTGGGGCTGAAGCGCACGGTGAAGGCAGGCTGCCCAAGCTGCTCTGTGCCTCGCATGGCAGTGCGCTGGGAACGGCGCCTCGTGGGCACAGTGCCTGCGTGCCGTGCGCGAGGCCGCCTGGCGTCTGGGCGGCTTTTGGGCTGCGAGGGGCCTTGAGGGCTGGCGCGACGGAAAGTCGCTTTGTGCTCGGGAAAGTGACGCTTCTGAGAGTGCTCGCTGCCTTTCTTCTATTCTCTCCACTGCTGCTTGAGCTCAGTGCTCTTCAGCTGCCTATCAGAGAACACCCAGAGCAGATGGCGGGCTGTGGAGAACTGGAGCGGCAGAAGCCAGAAAGAAGCAGGCTAATAAGGCTGGGTTTGGGATCCTGAGTGCTGGGAGATCAGCTCAAGTGCGTGGATGAAAGGATTCAGCGCAAGGGAGGACAAGGAAAAGATTACCTTCATTTACATTACAGAAAGAACGAGATAATTTAATGAAGGGCAAAAACTGTGTGGATGGGAAGAAGGCCAAAGAGTCTGGAAAACACAAAATGTGCTGTATCTAGTTTTAAACAGAGAAATAAAAGGAAGATAAATGATCTTTCTACTTGACTGTTATCTCTAGTCTTTGAGAACTTAAAGTAATTTACACAGAGGTGACTGGGGAGAAGCTGGGAGCAGAGAGCTGGCTTACAGAATCTCGTCCAAGAGCGCTGAAAGCAAAGCAAGGATGTTGCTGTGCCCGAGGCTGCAGGAGAAGCGTGGTGGTGGAGGCCGACCCAGCGGCAGGCTGGGCCTCGTGCACTGCGGGCGGCTGGGGCAGGAGTTCTGACCCCAGCTTTCTGTGAAGGAGTCCTCGTTAGCAACCTGGTAGTCTAATTAAATGTAACTGCAGGATGTGAGGCTAGCAGACTTCACTGTCATGTTCCAGTGCTGCTGCTCCTTCTCCTGATGCGTGCATTTTTTCTACTGCTTCTTCAAAAGATGTTATTTGGGAAGTCTGCAACCTTTGTTCTGCACCTGTTAGTATTTTTCACATTGAGTTTTTGTCACCCGTTGTTATTTGTTCCCAAAAAGCCTTGGAGTTAAGCCACAGAACTGAAGAGAGAAAACTGGCTTCAAATGTGGAAGCACAAATCAAAAGTAAACTTAAAATACAGAGTAGAGATTGGGCCAGCAGGATATGCAAACGTGTTGGGTTCTGTTAATGAGGGGTTGGATGTGGTTGGATGGATATGGTGGGGGGGGCTTTTCTTCATTGAGCAGCCTGATCTCGTGTAGCCCTGCCCGCAGCAGGGAGTTGGAAGGACGGGGCCTTAAAGGTCCCTTCTGGCCTTAAACTGTTCTTATTCCTGAGCTGAAGTCCTGGAGACGCATGGTGAAAGGCAGTGGTGGATGCGTAGAGCATTCCTGCTGTGGCTTACGAGGCTTATAAGTAGTGTCTGCTGTAGCTGAAAATAAGAGGGAAAGAGAACCTGTTAAAAGCTGCTGATAATGCCTGTGATATTCCTCCATGTGAGTCTGTCTGCGGGCTGCTCCCGCTTCTTCACTTGCAGCTTCTGCTGCAGCCATTTGCAGCACGTGTAGCCACTGTACATTTGTTTCACACTGGTTTGAGGTCTTGAATTTGTTTGGAAACTGATTTTTCTGTATCTGTGGGCATCGTGTCTAGTCAGAGTTGTGGTCTGAGATGGTGATGCTCTCCATCTGTAACACCTGTCCTTCATATTGAATGGCGTTTGGTGATATCTGATAGCTGCAGGTGTTCGCTGTGCCTCTGTGGCACCTGCTGCAGCAATGTCCCAAAGCACTGGAGGGCTGAAGCCTGGGAAGAAGCCAGGAACCCATCTGTTCTCAGGGGCATGTTTCCACTTAACTGGAGGAGATTCAAGAGCAGCATGGACATACATCATTCTGTTGTGCTCTATGCTGTCTTTCGGGGGCTGTTTCAGGGCACTGTGCGTCACCTACTTCTCTCCCCTGTGAAATACAGGAGCAGGGCAAGCTTTGCATTGCCTTGTGCTGTGATGAGGCTCTGCAGGTTGTTTGCAGAGATTGCTCTGACTGCCTGGGACCTAGTTTGCCAGGATTGTTGCCATTTAGCTGTGAGGCAAATGGGTGAACCAGTACCACTTCCAGCTATGTTTAACAGCGAAGTAATGTGCTTTGTTTTCTCCTTTGGGATTCTTGTAGGATAAATGCTTTAAATACTCCTGATTGGTAGCAATTTTTTCTGAAGCAAGAACAAGCTTAGTTACTCTAATTTAACATATAGGGCATGTGTCAGAATTTACAGATGTGTATGCTGATTCAACTGAAAATTTCCAGATGTGCTAAATAAAATCTTAGCTTTATTCCGCCATAGAAGGTCTGTGGCTGAAACTCGGGGAGGGTGTCAGTGGGGACCATCACACTCTACTGCACTGCCTTGAGTTCAGGTGTGGGATTTTGGGTTTGCTGTGCCCCCATAGGCAGCTACTTGCTGTAAGTACAGGCTGTAGGTAAAAATAGTGCTCTTTCATATATATGTATTTTTGCAAATGGCTGGTCTCTGTCCACATTGGATTATTTTTCACAATTAATAGGCCTTTGGGGCATCTAGTGGCTGGTGTAAATAAAGTAAAGGAGAGTTAGGACTCTGAGGCTTTTTGATTTTAAGTGAAAGCTGTCTGTCACCCACTAAATAGCACTACTTTCAGTTTTGAGAACAAGCACAGCAGTTGGTCTGCCTGCAGTCTAGTGCAGGGCTTGCTCATCTAGTCTTCGTAACAGCCAGAAATGATTAATTGGAAGCTTTGCAGATCCCAAGATCTTGCCTTCTTGTTGGATTAAATTTGGTCTTCTGGTTGAAATCCTGCAGAAATTGCATGCAACACGTGTAAGCAGGTTCCATCTTAGTCTACATCTGTTCTGGTTACAACCAGTACGTCCTGTGCCACTGTCGAAACTTACAGTTAAGAACTGGCTTGAAATCACAGCTCCCGGTTGGTTTGTTTTCTCGTTGCTTCATGAAAGTCAGTTCTCATCATTATTCATGGAGTTGTCTCAGGAAGTTCAAAATGAGTGGAAAAAGGGTTAAGCTTGCAAGAACAAGTGCTTACAGAGACAGTGTTCTTTTGGAGAGAATATTTTATCCCTTGCTTCATTGCCTGCAGCTTCCTTGCTGTGGCTCTGTAATATTATTTGGCTGAGCGGAAGGGCATGAATGGGAGAGATGAATGTTTTGCCCTGTGTTTATTAAAGACGACCCCGAAGTTGGGCCGAGCCCTGTCCCTCTGGCTGAGAGGTGGAGCTGGGCCAGGTGTGGGATGGGTGCTCAGGGCCAGGATGTGAGGAGGGGCTGCTGGTCCCTGCGCTTGCCTGCTCTGAGCCCAGCAGCAAGTTGCCACAGGCAATGCTGAGAAAGCTTGTTGTGAGAAAATAGAGCACCTGGGGAGTGGGAGCTTCACCTCCTTGTCCAGTTATATCTGAATTTGAGACCATTAAGAATGCGCGATCAACAAAAGGGAGGGGAGAGCAGGGGACAGAAGTGACACTTTTTTCCTCTTGGCTTTCAAAAAAATGTCTTTTTTTTTTTTTTTTGAAGGAATTTGGGTGGAGGTTACTCAGTTCTTTATGGAATAAATCTGTAAGTGTAGAGTTGTGTTCAAATAATTGAAAATAACACATTTTGGTAGGAAAATGCAGCAGAACAGGACTGTGGTGCTGGTGTTGGCCTCTGACCAAACACTGCCTGAACGGTTGCTGGGGGAGGATGGGGGACCTCTGATTTCCAGTTCCATGTGTTCTGCTGTGCCCCACAGGCGCTGTGCGTTCCTACTGTTTCTGTAGAAGAGTGATTTGGGTCTGTGTTTTCTGCCTACAATGCAGGAATTAGCAAATCTTGCTGATAATGTAAGTCGGTAAATGTCCACACTTGATGTGTAGAAACCATCCGTCCACCTCTATAACCGTATCTGGTGTGCTGTGTGCTTCATAGAAGGCACAACGCGGTGTTTTTGCTCTTCAGTTTTCATAACTTCTGTAACGACTTTGAACACTTCTCTCTGTTTGCTCCTGACAGGAGCCCCAGTGTCCTGCAAAAGCACAGCTGTCTGTGAGGCCGTTTGTTAGAATTAACTCTGTGTAATTTGAAACTGTGTTCTCAAATTGCAAAAACTGGGTGTCAGCAGTTCACGCAAAGGTTTTGAAATCCTGGCAGTGAATGCGTACTTCAGAAGCAGGTATTTTGATAAGCGTCAGGTCTGCGGATCTAATCACTGGATCATCTTGTAAGAGCAGGGACGTAGTGAAGTCGTAGATGAAATGCGTCTCCCTTAATTGTCGAAAAATGGAAGGCACCAAGAGAAGGGACAAGGGCTGTGATATTGTTGTAAAAATGTATTACTCTTGTTCCTGACTTTTTTGTGTTTTGCTTTTCAGCCAGAAAACTTGCAGAAGAATTGGCTTCAGGAATTTTATCAGGTAAGGTGAAACTTCCTTCCTTATTAATAAAATAAAGATCTTTTGCTTTTGTGAAGTTGAAGTTCCTATGTCATGTTCAAAACCAGTCTTAAAAAAAAGTGCCCTTGGATTTGTAATGATTAGTGTGCAGGCATCATTTGTTCTCATTGACAGTCTTCTGGTTTAAAACAGTTTGAGTGCTTTGTAAAAAATAAGTGATATATATGTTCACATTTTTATTAAAATCTTAGCCATTTCTGATGGTGGTTTGCAGCAGATCAGCCCTCTTATTTGAACTCGCTTGAAATTTTCCCATTTCGGAGCAATATAACAAGTACTGGAACTGTATCTTAAACATGTTATAAGCTTAACTGTGTATTTTTTTAAGTGTGAAAGCCACTCTAACATGTTCTGGTTTTGTGTTAGAGGTTTAGAAGCCTTCCATCCTTTCAGTGTAGCATTAGTGCTGTTTTACTTCGATAGTTTGTATCACAGCTTCCAGAATCGATAGGTTCTGAAGTTCCTTTATTCGTTATTAAATCCCTTATGGAAAAATGGTTAACATTCTGCAGTTCAAGTTTTAAAGTGAAACTGCAGCAAACTGGATTTTCAGTGTTTTGTTACTTTTTTGTGACTGGAATTATAATCTTGGAAGGTCAAGGTTCCAATGCCGTTTATGTCCACCACTGCAATACCATACAACACTGCAGTTTCTAGCAAGTTGAATGCAATTGCAATGAAATGACCAGTTTGAGATTCATATTGTCTATCAGCTCCACAAAAGATGAGCTTATTTTTCTTCTGTCTTGATTGATTAGTGGGGTTTAATTTGTATGGGTTTCCTTGGCTAATTCTGATTTTAAAAACCTTTTCACACTAAAAAAAAAAAAAAAAAAACACACACACACAAACAAAACAAAACAAAACAAAAAATAAACAAACCACAAAAACAACTCCTATGAAGGGAATATATATTTAAATAGATGGAAGCCTTTTTTTTCGCCTTTAGATCACTGAATATTTCATAACATCGTGTTACTTCTGCATATTTATTGACAAGACTGTATGTTCAGTTGTTAGTGAAGCGGGGGTGTGCGCTATGGAAATGTCTCCAAATACTTGGTGGAAAACAGGAAAAGGAGGGGAGAAATGAGCTGCTAGTATTCTGGAGCAGAGACCACTGGTGTGGAGCTGAAGTAGGTCTGTCTTTGTCCCACTGAATGTCGAGCACACCAGGCTCAAAGCAGGGAGAAATGGTTCCTTAGTGCGCCTGGCAGGTCGAGTCCGGGTGCGACCAGCTGAAGTGCAACTGCAGCAGCCCTGGGCCCATCCCTCGGATACAGCAGTTCTGCTGCCTCTTTCCTTTCCACTCCTTCTGCCTTCCTTATCTGCAGTCCAAGGAAGCTGTGTTTAAAACAAAAATGTTGCCAGTTCTACTCATCACCAGTAGGGAATGACGCAAACAGTCCTCAGGAGGAAAGCAGGAGCCTTGAATCCTTCCTCCTCACGTCAGTGCCTTGGGTAGGATTGCTGCTTGCTCTGTTTGCTGCTAATGTGGTAGGAAGTGGAGTAAAACTTTAAGGAAGAGACTAACATGCTGTGCTAAAAGTAGCGCTGCACAGTCCTGATGTAAGGCTGCGTAGCAACCCAGTACATGTAGAACTTCAAATATATTTTTATTCAAGTTCTGCATGCTCGAAGTCCTCTGCAAATTGAAATTCATCAGAAGTGCTGAAAACTGGCTTTTAAAAAGGCTGGTAATGCTTCTTCATAAACTCAAAACCCAGGTAAACCACAGACCACAAGTTTTTTCCATTCTTCTGAGGAATTCAATTTGCATATGTGGTTGTGTCACTACAGTTTGCATAACTTCTGAGAGTGAAGTCCTTGTGCAAGCTGTCAGAATAACCTCTGCAAAAATAAAAGTACTCTGTTTAAAATGTTTTTAGAAATTAAGCCCATAATGAAAAGATGTCTTCATGTTTGAGTAATGGAGTTCAATCCAGCCGGTGATTGGTTATGAGTGGTGTTCTGCAGGGATCGGAATTGGGCCTGTCCTCTTCAATATCTCTGTTGATGACCTGAACGAGGGCACTGAGTACACTCTGGGTAAGATTGCAGATGGCACCAGGTTGGCTGGAAGTGTCAGTCCGCCTGGGCGTAGCAAAGCCCTACGAGAGATCTGGGCTGAGGGCAGCGGGATGATGATCAACAAATGTCGGGTCCTGCTTCGGCCACCGCAACCCTGGGCAATGCTACAGGCCTGGGGCAGAGTGCCTGGAAGACTGTGGAGAGGAAATGGACCTGGGGGTACTGATTGATGCTCAGCTGAACGCGAACCAACAGTGTGCCCAGGTGGCCAAGAAGGCCAATGGCATCCTGGCTTCTATCAGAAGTAGTTGCTAGCAGGACCGGGGAAGTGATTGTCCCCCTGTACTCAGCTCTGGTGAGGCTGCACTGGAACTGTGTTCCAGTTTGGGCTCCTCACTGCAAGGAAGACATCACGGAATCGTCAGGGATGGAAGGGAGCTCCAGAGATCGAGTCCAAGCACCTGCCAAAGCAGTTGCGTACACCAGGTTGCACAAGTAGGTGTCCAGGTGGGTCTTGAACATCTCCAGAGAAGGAGACTCCATAGTCTCCCCAGGCAGCCTGTTCAGTGCTCCGTCACCTCACTGTAAAGAAGTTCTTGTGCACATTTGTGCGGAACTTCCTATGCTGCAGTTTCCGGCTGTTTCCCCTTGTCCTGTCTCCACACACTGATGAAAAGAGTCCGGCCTCGCCATTCTGCCCCCCACACCTCAGATATTTACAGACCTGGGTCAGGTCCCCTCTCAGCCTTTTCTCAAGGCTGAACAGACCCAGTTCACTCAGCCTTTCCTCATAGCAGAGATGCTCCAGGCCCTTCACCATCTTGGTGGCCCTCCGCTGGACTCTTTCCAAGAGATCCCTGTCTGTTTTGTACTGGGGAGCCCAGAACTGGACGCAGTGCTCCAGATGAGGCCTCACCAGGGCAGAGTAGAGGGGGAGGATCACATTGAGGCTCTGGAGTGCGTCCAGGGAAGGGCAATGGAGATGTGAAGGGTCAGGAGCACAGGCCTTAGGAGGAGCAGCTGAGGGAGCTGGGAATGTTCAGTGTGGAGAAGAGGAGGCTCAGGGGAGACCTCATTGCTCTCTGTAACTTCTGAAGGGAGGTTGTGGTGAGCTGGGGGTCGGCCTCTTCTCTTGTGTAACGGTGACAGAACTAGAGGGAATGGCCTCCAAATGCACTGGGGAGGTTCAGGCTGGACGTTAGGAAATACCACTTCTCTGAAAGAGTGGCCAGGCGCTGGAATGGGCTGCAGAGGGAGGTGGGGAGTCACCGACCCTGGGGGTGTTCAAGGAACGTTTGGATTTTGTGTTGAGGGACGTGGTTTAGTGAGAGCTATTGGTGATGAGTGGATGGCTGGGCTGGGTGATCTTGTAGGTCTTTTCCAACTTTGATTCTATGAATGTTAAGTAACACATTAAGGAGCATTTCTATGGCTTTCTGTTTAAGCTCCAACAACTTTAAGCTAGGGATTTTACATCAGCACAGGTCACTTCATGTTTTATCATAGGTTACTGCTATATGCATTTCCCAGAACAGCGTGTGGAAGACTTTAACATTTAAGTAGCCCACGCTAAAATTTTTAAGTTTGTGCCCCATTCCATGGGCAGTCTGATGTAGCACTTGATCTAGCACCTGCCTGCAGCAGGGGGCTGTTGGAACATGGTGATCCCTGATGTCCTTTCCAACCCAAGCAGTTCTGTGATTCTGTGGTGTGATTCTACGAATACTGTATAATCACAGTCTTCTATATGTTGGAAGGGGCCTTGGAAGGCTGCCCGGTGCCACCCCTGCAGTGAGCAGGGACACCCACAGCTCCACCAGTGCCCAGATCCCGTCCCCTGCTCTAGGCTGTCTGCAGCGACCACCCCCACCTCTCTGGGCAGCCCATGCAGTGTCTCGCTGTAACACACTTCTTCCTTATGCCCAGCCTAAACCTTGTATCTTTTAGTTCGAAAGCATTTTCCCTTGCCTTACTTTAAATCTTGCATATTTTTGTGTTAAACTACACAATTTTACCAAGAAATGCAGATTTAAAAAAAAAAAATAAATTGAATTTTAGCGTGTAATTTCATCTTACAACATAGCAGCCCTCAAAGCTCACTACTTTATTACCTTTCTGAGCACTGTTGATAGAGCTGATAAATGTTTTACTGTTTTATTTGGATGTATCAGTCCCTTGTGAATTTCAAGTCTGCCTTTTGGATGACAGCTGACTTTGTATTTTAAAATTGGTCTACTATCAAACGCTGGGTGGCTTTCTGCCAGTTCGCAGCAGTTGCTATTTTTCCCCTAAGGAAAAATAAAGCGCAGTGACGGGGCAGACCGGCAGAACTCAGCCCAGCTATTTATGGGCGCCGGCTCCTGGCACAGCCCCAGGGCTGCTCCCAGTGTGCTGCCTGGGCACACAGCTGGCTGCCTGCAGGAACGGCCCGAGCCTCAGCCTCGCTGCTGCTCTGGTTTCCCATTGCTGGCTTTGTGGTCAAGCTTTTCCTTCTCACTGCTGTATTTCTTTTCAGTTGGTTCCATTGGTGAATACATGGTGATAATGTGGTTTCGTAACGCTTTTCCTTGTGATATAAGCTGAAGGTATTATACTATATTCTGATCTGTATGTAAGAGGGCTTAAAGTCAGTCTGAATAATCCCCTGCAAAGCAGGGGCAAGGTCAGCATCTCAAGAAGTGGCATTTTAGGAACGAGAAGAGGGTTCTGAGGAGACGGTCTGCCTGTCCATTAATGCTTAACAGACTGGTTAAAAGGTTAAAGCACGTCATCCGGTTAAAATACAGTGTCATCAGAAACATTCCCTAAATGACTGGGTGACAGTGTTCCTTCTCTTCTGCGGACTAGAATATTAACTTTAAAGTTAGCGTGTCATAATGCTTTCCAGACAGGAAAGCTCACAGTGCCTAACTTTGGGTTTTGCTGCTTCT